CAGTTGAGTACATGGGAGTCCAGTGATATAGCCATTATGCCAACTGCTGGGCCCAACTGATCCCATTTTTTAATCGCATTCTTATAGACTCCTTTTTGTGGGGCCTCTCTGTATTATTTTGAACCCCATTTCATTCCAATCCTTGGCCTCTTTCTCTCCTGCGCTTCTTATAGCCTTTTGAAACTCCCTAGGGAGGAAAATGTGCAGGCCCTGGTTCATAGTTTTAGGTAACAGATGGCTTTTTATGATACCTGTCAGAGAAGTTTTAATTATGTGAACTCCTCATTATACAACTCCAATGGGAAAAGGTATATTCTTTAAGGAATACTCTAGCTCTTAGTTTTTAAAGTCCATTTCTATAAAATTAATATAAAGTGACATGACATATTTTCCTCCAAAGAAGCAACTTTTGTGAATTATCCCTAAAAGTATTTAAAAATTTGTTATATTTGCATAAATAATAGCATAGGCTCCACTTCATGATTTTATAATTTCAAATGGAATAAATAAGCAATGGAGACATGAATTCTACTTTTAGTTTTACCACAAATTAGCTGGTTGACTATAAGCAAGTCATTTTATCACCTGAATCCCAGGTTTCTTATTCCTTGATTGAGGGAGTTGGAAAGGGAAGTCCTTTAGTTCTCATCAGTTCTGTAATTCTATGATTGTAGCTGCATTTTCATTTATTTATTCCGATTTATGAGGTTGTATTCATTTGTGGCTTTCATTTCTCTCTTCTCTCATTCCTGCACACTGGTGTGGTCTGTTAGATACTCATGAGAAGCTCTTTTCCCATATAAATTTGTGCTGGCCAAGGGATACAGAAAGAGAGATTTTCTACCAAGCGTTTATAATTAGGAGCCCCTGTCGGACAGCTTTCTATCAAATAGGATAGAACTTCCTTTGGTTATCATTGCCAAGGAGACAGATCAGGGCACCAAAATCAGTCAGCAAGAATTTTTTAGGACTGAATCTAAGAAGGATGAAGTTGCTTACTCAGAAGGAGGGGAGGACCAGAAGTATGTTTTAACATTCCAGTAGAAGAACTTAGACTTTGAACAGCAAAATGGCCTGGTGAAATCTGAGCCTGCCCAGCCACCGACTTCTGAATCCTTGAGCTATGGACATTCTTCCTTGAATGCCTAGAATATTAAAGGATGAGGAAGACGGCCAGCAGATGCCTATCATGTTCTCGGCACTAAACACAGACACATCTGACAAGGCTGCTATCCAATCATTCAAGTGTGGCTAAAGGGGCTCATTGCTGACCTGCAGTCTGTTCCACGCTGACTGCAAATACAGTCTGTCTGCCCAGAGCCAGCAGGGCCGCCCGTGGAGCCTGTCAGTCAGCAAACACACAGGCACAGTGACGGTGCCTTCAGTGTTACATCATGTCTTTAACAAATTTATCTTCTCCACTCTGGTCCTCCTATTGTTTATATATATATATACACACACACACACACACACACACACACACACACACACACATATAAGCTTGCTTCAGGGCACACGTGTTCTCCAAAGAGAGAGAGAGAGTGAAAAATCACCCCCCGAGGGAGTTGACAATGCTGCAATCCCTTCTCCTCCTCCATTCTCCTCTTGGGTTCTTGGGCATGTACACACACATGCCTACATGACTTTAAAGCCACTGGGTTTGGGACGCAAACAGCTTTTTCAACATGTGGGACCCAGCTGCCTTAACCTCCATGTCACCTGCCGGCCTCCTGTTCACTTCTAAAGGTCAGAATGAGATCCCTGCCTTCTTTATTTTTCCTATTATGAGCGATATTAGAATCCTTAAATATCAGATGGGCCCCTGTGTGGCCATCGCTTTTAGGACCCTCATTTCAGAGAGCAAAAGAAGAAAGCCTCACAGAGGACAGTGACTTGCTCAAGGCCAGATGGGAAGAGGCAAAGCCAGAAGGATGACTTTCTTGACTTCTAGTTCTTGAACTCCAGGCTCCTTCGGGGCGTTCCCTTGGGTGAGTTTCATGCTGATCTTTCCTGTTTGCATCCTGCTATGATGGGCCATACTTAATCTTCCCAGCTCATTATCAGCTCATCCTCATATGATGAACGTGTTAAGGGAGCAGCAGTTACACCGTTAAGGTTAGGCATGTTCTTTTACACTGATTTTGTTCAAAGTACTGATCTCACACAGAAGAGTACTTTATAGTTTTCAAAGGCATTTTTGCCATATTGGAGCATTTTGATCTTTGTTTTTTTAGCTGGACCCTGTGAATTCAACAAAACAATCCAACCTGAAGACTGAGAGAGACTTGGGTAGCTGGGCTACCTTGTGCAGAAGTTCTGTTTGCTCACGTGTAGACACAAAATGGTCAATCCAAGCATCCTAATAAATACAGCAATGCTTCTGACACACTGCCCAGGCCTCTAAAGAAAAGAACAGACTGAAACACTAAACACACAAGCAGTGACAACGGCTTATTCTTGCGTTAGTAATTGAAAAAACATTCGAGTTATGGCAGTATTATCTCCTAAAGCTACAATAGGGACGATGCAGAATCCATATGCCCACTATTGCTGCTATCTTTGAAGGCTGGAATAGATCATCTCTAATGTCTGTTTTAGTTCCACCTTCACTTGGCTCTGACTCAGAGATGCTGTGAGGAGGCAACATTTGTGAATTTCCAATTTAAATAATCTCTGTTCCAGGCCTCCACAAGGTGTCAGACATTCCCTAACAGGTATTCAATAAACATGAGGTGTTGATGGTTTTAGTGACTTCCTGGGATGGCCTTCCCTTGAACAAATCAGAGTCCCTTGATCTGGTGGCCTTCCGGAAGCCCTTTGTCCCCAAGGTGATTTTCTTCATTGCTCTAAGAGACAAGCTACTAAATACGGGGCTTCACAGAGGAGGAGAAAGTTACTGGGAAGCAACTGGATTCTGTCAGATAAATGAAAACCTTGATAAGTACCTGCCTTGAAACTCACAGAGAAGAAGGTTTTCAAATCAAAGTGCTAAATTAAGAAGCTTAATTTTGGTACTTCAGCTGACTGAGTTGTTTATGGGAGGGCTTATGCGAACAATTCCCTGCATCCACAGGGGGTCAGGAGCCAGGAGCAGAAACTGGTAAGATAGCTTCAGGGGGAGGAAAGGGACTGGCTCTGTCTCCCGAAAGCATGTGAGGAGTTCTGGGTCTGGTCTGTCTCACTCCCATGCTGGTACACTGCTGGCTGCAGTGCGCTGATGTCCAAAGTCCTCTCCACCACGTTCTCCTTGGAGGGGCGGAGTCAACGCCTGTTTCTTGTGGTTCCCCAATTTATCATGAAAATCGTGAGACTACAGAGAGCTCATTGCTGGAGGGAGAAAGACATCAAGACACTGAATTCAGGCTTAGACTATAACTCTCAGCTCAATTTCTTTTTTTTGGCTCAACTTGAAACATAATTCATTAGTTTTTTGGTAGGGCACAGTATGGATTTTCACAGAATGTGTCCAGTATGTAATTACCAAGTCATGGGTAGTAGAGTTTCATCTGGATTCTAACAGTAGTTGTTAAGAAAATTATTTGCTCTCTCCGGAGCAGCTTTTCCTGTCTGGAAATGGGAGTCAGACTTTCTTTTGTGGACTCTACAATGCTCTGCCTGGCTAGTAGTCCTTTATTTTCTCACTGTGATATTAAATATATTCCAAGAATATTTTGATATAGTCATGAACTGAGGTACTAAAAAACCAGCAAATGGTATAGTGGTTGAGACACTGGACTCCCACATGGCTGACTGCAGTTTGAGTTCTAGACCTGGCAGCTTGAAAATCACTCTGGGCACATGTGTATGCATGCCCCAAATCCTGAGGTGATAATGAAGCAGGCAGGACTCCATCTTGGAGAAGCGCCTCCATTAATGAACTGTTAAATTCCTGTGACTGGAAACCTTCCCTCTCTGCTTTTGTTTAAGAGTAAATAGAGTGATTAACATTCCTATTGTCCTTAAAACTCCACTTCTAATCACCTTAAAGATGATTAACCTGCTTACCTGCTTTGCATTTTGGGCCTATATAAGCTCCTTTCTCCTTTCACTGGGGCTGAGGGGTTCTGAGAGACATGAGTTCCCCCATATGCCACCGGCTTAATCAATAAACTACAATAAATTTGGCTATGTCTGGATGTCCTCTCATTTCTCACTGAGTAGACTATAGTAATAATAGAGAAGGAAATGCAGCATGGCCATCCCCCAGGATGGCTGACTGCAGTTTGAGTTCTAGACCTGGCAGCTTGAAAATCACTCTGGGCACATGTGTATGCATGCCCCAAATCCTGAGGTGATAATGAAGCAGGCAGGACTCCATCTTGGAGAAGCGCCTCCATTAATGAACTGTTAAATTCCTGTGACTGGAAACCTTCCCTCTCTGCTTTTGTTTAAGAGTAAATAGAGTGATTAACATTCCTATTGTCCTTAAAACTCCACTTCTAATCACCTTAAAGATGATTAACCTGCTTACCTGCTTTGCATTTTGGGCCTATATAAGCTCCTTTCTCCTTTCACTGGGGCTGAGGGGTTCTGAGAGACATGAGTTCCCCCATATGCCACCGGCTTAATCAATAAACTACAATAAATTTGGCTATGTCTGGATGTCCTCTCATTTCTCACTGAGTAGACTATAGTAATAATAGAGAAGGAAATGCAGCATGGCCATCCCCCAGGAGGGGCGATTTCTCACTTTCCCTCTCTCTCTCTTTCTTTCTCTCTCTTGTAAATATATGCCCTATAGCAAAAACAAAAACAAAAAGACTAAACAAGAAAACTTACTTTTTTTAACTTCTCAAAAGCCAGTATCAAAGTTAAATTACAAGCATAAGATATTTCAAATTTGCTAAAGATCAAAATGAGTATGTCTACATATGGGTTCGATGGAATTTAAAAAAATATTAGACAATCATGCCAAAATTCCAACAGTCTTTATTTCTGTTTTGGGAGTTGTTAGTAATTTTAATTATTAATAAAATAGTCTATAATTTTCAATGCTGTTTATAATGAAGATTGATTGCATTTGTAATAAAAAATATAATCATTATTTTTAGTTATATCTTATGCTAATTGAGGAAAAACAACTTGTACACACCTTTCTCTTCCTTCTGTCTCCTTTTTCTAATAGCTAAAAAACTTGAAGAACCACTAAGTCTTGTGACAACAGTTTCAAAGTTGAAATTTCTTCTATATGTGTGTGTGTGTGTGTGTGTGTGCGCGTGTGTGTGTGTGTAAACCATCGATGTCAAGGAAAAATGGAGACTCACTCTGTTTTTCTCAATACACATTTCTGAGACTCAGGAAAGCTAATGAATCAATCATGAAATAAGGAGAGCACAAAATAAGACCATGAGCTATGCTTACTCTTATATTTCCCCCTGGACCTCAGAGAGCTGAAACAGTTATGGGGGTTGTTTCTTTGCCAGTTTTCACTCTTTTCCTTCCTCTGGTTGCAAGACTGAGAAATTCTCCAGCCCTGAGTCACAAGGAGGTGTGCAACACAAAGCCATCTGGAAACTGTATGAGTACAAAAGAAGTGAACCAGTTCCATCATGTTAGACAAGCAGGTTCCTGAAAGTCTGGCTTTATTCCCACCAAAGTCAGGTAAGAAAGATCAAATATCTGTCCAAATAAAAGCAGAATGAATAGAATGCTTTCTCTTATAGACCTTGGTGAATAAAAAAACTGCCCATTCCTTTACATTTCTGCAGAAGTGTAACTAGACATGGCACGTGAAAAGCTTTCCATCAAATCCTTTAACAGGTTTACTAAAAGGTAGCTTTTTTATTATAGAGCTGGGTATTCTATGCATTCACCACCATCCTTCAGCTCAAAGGGCATTTTCTGGTCCTGTGGCCTTGCAGTTCAATGACCGTGCTTTGACCATTCAAAGCTAGGGTTCGTCCCTGGGACACAAGTCACGTGGAGCACAACATGGCTGGTATCCAGAAGGATCACGAGAACCACACAACTGCTTTGGCTTCTCTTCAAGAGCTGCTCAGCAAGGAACTCGTGATTCTTGACCATCTGGTTAGAAATCCTGGCCATGATTTGCTTAATCTTAGAGTTAATATGGAGTCTGTCCGTAGGAAGTGTTTTGTGGGGTCGTAACCACCCTACTAGTTAGTCCATGCTAGGTAGACTCTTAATATTTTCTTTGTTTTCACTCGCTTATTAGTTTCTGATGAGATCATTCATGGACAATCAAATGTTTGCTTATTACAAATTGGAATTCAACCCTCTCAGATTTTTATGATCTTAAATGTTAGAGGAACGGGCAAGTTAAAATGATTACATAGAATTAACAAATTATAATGCTTGTGAGGACTTTTGAGGTTACAGGAACTGTTCGTCTGATTTAGGCAGCATGATTCCAAATGTGAATGAGTTCTAACCAAGGACATGAATATTTCAGAATACATTTATTCATTTTAGTTCGTAAAAATATGCACCTTAATTAGATATTATCTAGACTAACATTTCACACAAAGGATAAAGAAACTGAGTCTTAGGGAATAAAGGAACATTTCTCAGGTCATAGTGGCAGAATAAGGTCTAGCCCCTTATTTATTAATTTTTTAAAGTACTTTTTTTTAAAAGGAATTCTTTTATTTAATTTTATTTATTTTCTTATTTTAATTTGATCAGAGAGAGACAGAAAGGGAAAGTGAAAGCAAGCCTCCAGGTCTAGGACTCAAACCATGGTTGGCTATGTGGGAATTCAATACCTTAACCACCACATCACCTGGCAGCCCCTTAGCCCCTTATTTTTACACCCAATTTTATGTGTTTTCTTTTAGGCTCACCATTTCTGTTCATACTTCTTGAAAGATTTTTTTATTACTTCTGTGGATTTGGGGAAATATAAAACATTTAAGAGTGTTAACCGTATAAAATTAAAGTTTTAAGTAGTTTCAAATGGAGTTAGTTTTATTTCTGAATTGCGTAAGCCTCTTCTATTGGCACATTCAGGCCTTGAAAGCCTACAGTCATACTCTCCCCATTATTTCTGCCACATACCTACATGCTTTCCTCTTCCAAAACTTCGGACCCCAGTTTCTTTTTTTCTCATTTCAAGAACAGGGTAGAAATGGTAGTGTTAGAACTGGTCCATGTACAAATGGTCCCCAACTTACTTACAGATGGTTGACTTGCAAGTTGTCAGCTTTACTCTGATGTAAAAGTGATAAGAATTTGTAGTTCCATACTCTCTTGGGATTTTGGGCAGCGGCAGTGGGCTGTTGCTCCCAATCATGCTATCACAGGGATAAACACCCAATACTGTATGTTTCATTCAGTCCACTGAACTCAGAAAGTTACATGAGCTATTCATCACTTTCTTGTAGAATAAGCTTTATGTTAGATAATTTTGCACATCTGAAGACTCATGTGTGTCAGCCTGTTTGAGGTAGGCTAGGCTAAGCTGCGATGTTCCCTAGGTTAGGTGCATTCAGTGCCTTTCCAACTCACAGTGGGCTTATTAGGACGTACCCCTAAGTCAAGGAGCAATTGTACTCTCTTCTATTCTCTTGGGTTACCTCACCTTCAGGTGCTATTAGAGGTAAAACATGACACAAATGGCTTAGGGTGTGAAGAGAGAGCAGAATGCAAAATAAATGTGGCCTGCTGGCCATGGTTCTAGAATGTCATTTTCAATGGATGTTGACTTAGGTCCAACTTCTCTCAAGAAATCTGAACATGACGGGAAAGGAATTTCATGTGAAAGAAAATGGTGGAAACACACTGTGAGAGAAACGAAGACAGGATTTCCAGCAGGATTTTCTAATTGATTAGGGAGGAACCAACAAGAGACCATTCTTTTGATTTTGTAGCTAACATTTTACATTTCTTTAGAAGAGATTATTTTTCTGCCAAGAAATTGGTTGACGTGTCATTCTCATCTCCCCCACTGTAGCCACCCCTCCTTGATGGGAGGCTTAGGTCTTAGCCAGGTATGGTTTCCAGACAAAACCATGGGGAAAACAGTTATACGTGTTTCTTTGAATGTTAATTTAAAAATAGTCATGGACTTTCTGGTGAGTGCTTCTACATAGGGAGTACAAAGCAGAGGACATGCTTCATACTTCAGACAGGTACCATAGAAAGGGGCTAGAGACACAGAACTGAGTAATGGACATTTTTTTTTTTTTTGGAGAGGTTTTCACTATAGGGTGCATGCGCTCGCCAGACAGACAGAGAAGAGACAGAGACAGGAAGCGAGAAATCACCCCCCAGGGGGATGGTCACACTGCAATCCCTTCTCCTCCATCCTCCTCTCGGGATCTTGGGCACGCACACACACGCGCCCAGCGTGAGTTTTAAGCCACCGGGTCTGGGACACAAACCGTGGTCGACTAAGTGGGAGTCCAGCGACATAGCCATTACGCTAACTGCTGGTTCCCTAACGGACATTTTTATAGCAGTTTAGTGAGAGAACTACCCATACCCTAGTTTTATTGACTTCTAGGTATTGAGGTAAATAAATTCCATGCATTACCTCGCATGAATCTTAGAACGATTTTATGAGATTGACATTATTTTTTATTTTGGGGGAGGTGAGGAAACAAAGACTAAGAGACATTTATTTTTAATGTTTAGAGCTATGTGGTGTATGGCAGAGCTCACCTGCAAGCCTTTCTGACTCTACTATGCGTCTTTAACAATTCAGCAATGCAAACTGATATATGCGACAATGGACATAATCCAAGTGCCAGCTGGGTGTCAAGAAATAGCAAATCTGTCCAATCTCTCTCAAGTCTGAACAAGACAAGGCATGAGTGGTAAACTGAGGTAGAAGGGAAGAAAAAGGAGCAGCCAGTGGTAGCAAAACTCAGTTCTGATGCATGAGAAGGTCACCAAGCATCGTAAACAGGGTGAAAGGCATGTGCAAAGTCCTGACATGACATGGTGCAATTAGGGAATGACCCACAGTCACTGTGACTTTCTTAGTGTCTACATGCTGAACTGTGGTGAATGCTGAGGTGGAAGGATAGGAAAAGATACTTTAAAAGGTGAGCATTGATTTTGGTAGAAAGTTGTTATTTATGATTAAAAAATCTCAACCCCATCCCACGCACAATCGTACATAAATCTCTGAGAGTTTATGTAAGGTAGTGACTTTTACCGAATGCCATAGCCCTGATGGCAGCGTGGAGGTTGCAGACTTGTTCTTGCCATTAGACAATGAGGGAAGCCCACCTGACTGCAGGATTTTGTGAGGAGCAGGTAGTAAACAGAGCTGGAGAGGAAAGACCTGAGGTCTTCCAGCCCAGAATGTTTCCTGCACTATAACTGAACAATTCATTAACCTCAGGGAGAGCTAGCCCTTCATTTGCTGAATTTCATGAAGCCAATCTCCTCAGGTTGTTTTGAGATAACATGGAAACATAACTTTCCTTTGTCTGCTGAAGACAGTAGCACCCACAGTACACTCTGTTCTGGATCTCATTATCCCGTTTATGGGTTGCTTTGGTCCTCCATGTTTTCACTATCTCCCTTCTATTACCAGCCAGGTAACCATTTTATTGCTCATTTGCACGTCTGCTAGAGAGAAAAGATGTGATAGCTAGACCAGTCAACATTTTATTTGCTTGCAACTCTTGTAAAAAGTTTACTAAGGGGAAAGCATTAAAAAAAGTAATGAATACTATAAGATCTGTGGATGTTCTGTACACTTCATTTCTGCAGACTGTTTTTTTTCCCACGAACCTTCTATCATCAGGAGTCTGATATTTTAAATTTTTCCCAAAAACATTAGATTATACTCTTATTCCCCTTCCCCCTATTTCATTTTACAGAAAATGGAACTGAAGTAGATTAAGTGTTTAAGTGGATTCCAGGGCATACTACATCAAGTTAGTGACAGGGCTTCAATCAGACTCTGAATAGCCTGATTTTTTTGATGCTTGGTCCCAAATTCAGCCCACTCTGTGTCCGCTAAATATTCTCATGTATCACACACATAAATCTAGGAAGAAACGATGGCAGTTTCAGGATGATCGTCTAATTCATCATCCAAACAAGAACATCTGTGACAGTTGAAAGGGACACAAATAATAATTGCTTCAGTACAATAGGCTTAAGCCAGACTCATTCTCAACAATCGAGTGCTTGGGTAACTTCTACTTCATTGCAATCAAAGGTCACTCTGATAAGTGGCATGACAATACAATTACAGTCTCTAGACGGCAATTCCTGGCTAACCCTACAAGTTAATGCCACTCTACTCAGCTGAAAACAGAAAAACAGGGGCAGATGACACAGGAGGACTGTTCTGAAGGGAGCCCATGGACCAGTGGTAATCAGTTAGTGGTTTTGAAGACTGGAGGAGCCGGGCTTGATTTCCTGGTACCTCACTAAAAACTGCTTGGATTCATTTGCTAATTGATGAATTCATTCATTTCCACAAATTAGCACCTGCTATGTTTCAGGCGATCGGCTACACATACACAACAAACTGGGAACAGCTCCCGTCCTTGAGTCATTCACAAGCTAGTGAAAAAGACACATGAATAAACAAATATTTACTGTACAGGGGAATAAATGCCATCAGAGCTATAAACTCTGGTTTCTAGAGGAAAAGGAGAAAAATAAAAAGCTTACTATTTCCTAGCTTACTCCCAAGGCTACAATACTGAATCTCACAGGTGGAGAGAAGTGAAGTAGGTGCAGTTGAACATGCTGCATTGTACTCATTAGGTTATGACCAGATCCTTTGGAGGTTAGGAGACTACATTTCAGCCTGTAGATACTGAGGAATGAACCATGGTTTTGTTTTTGCTTCAAAGCAGGTAAGCCATACAAACAGATTTGTGTTTAAAAACATAACTCTGCTGGTAGTATTGGGAAACTTGAGTCTCCACAACATTCTTTCCATGATTATATGGTTCTTTGGAAACCTAAAAAGAATCACAAGGTACATACTTAAATGTCTTAACCACATTTACATTAGGTAGGTTTTTGATTTTGTCACAAAGGTATTGTCTGTCCTTCTCTTTTATGTTCATATTTTCAACTTAAATATTTATCGTTATTTTTGTTATTATTTTTATTTCAGAATCCCCAAAAGTAGTACCTTATTTTTAGGTTAAATCAGCTATTTGATTTGTCCTTCTGTTTCCTTAGAAACTACCCTGAGACCAACAGGTGGTGCAGCTGTAATGCAACTAGACCCACATAGGAAAAGTCCTTGGTTCAGTTCCTCAGGCTTTCCTGAACACATAGGGTACATGCATGCCCGTGGTCTAGGCTGGCTGAGAACAGGGTGAACAGCAGTATGAAGACCCTGTTGAGCTACCTGTCGTTCTGTCTCTTTCTCTCATGCAAGAAGTAAATAAAACTCTTAAAAAAAAAGAAGCTATCAAATAACTACCTTTTTCTTTTTTCCCTTTTCCTTTATTTACTTCCATTTATTCCAATAGTCTTTGATCAAAAAGAGAGAGCTGCTTCCGCTACCATCACATTTGCTGAGTCATGTGTAATTTTCTTTGACTGATGAGGGCTTCAATGTCATTGGATATGAGGTTCAAGTCTGGTTGGTTGGTGAATATAATTGAGCTGAATAACACATTTTAATTGCACATCTTAATTTTCAAATGAGGCTGAAGTGAGAAGAGGTCATAAGAGTGCATGTACTTACAAAATCTTTCATGAGGTAATAAGGAAATAGTGATGAATATTTTTCAATACTTCATTTTTCAAGGAACAAAGTTCTTTTAAGAAGAAACTAGAAGAAAGATAGCAACAGAGAAATGCAGAAAAAATATGAGCTCCAAAAGGCATGTTCTAATTATAGAAGGTGAATTGAAAGAATTTTCTGCTTTTCAGATCAATTATAGGGTTGTTATTTGCTCTGTGGTAGTCGTGTATCTGTGTGTTGTGGACTATGACTACAATTCTGGGTACATTTAGAGTGGTGTTATATCTAGTAGCTTCCTTATCCCTTCATCGATTTTAGATTTCTAATGACGTGGCAATATTTTTCAGCTCTTACCATTAAGAGTATGCTTCTCCATTTGAATCTTGGCTTGGATCTGTGACTTGCGTTCACCAAAAGAATGTTCACAAACGTAGTACAAGTCTATGGTTGAAAAGTGCTTTTTATTCCTTTTACTTGTTTCTGGAACCCAGATACCTTGTGAAGATACCAGATACCATAATAACCTTTCAAAAAGAATCATGAGGTACATATTTAAATGTCCTAACCACATTTACATTAGGTAGGTTTTTGATTTTGTTATGAAAATTCTTCACTTTATGAAGAATGGTGGCCTACTCAACCTTGTTGCTCCAGCCAGTCACTGGAAATGTGAGACCATGCAGAGCCAAGATGCGCTGAGAAAATTCAACAGCTCATTGTAGTTGTATGAGTAAATTCAGGTGAGATGCCCAGCTGGGTTGAGCCCAAATTGCTACCCCATAGTATCTTATAATCAATTATTGTTTTAAATCATAAAATCTGAGGCCAATATAATGGGTTAATGTATCTACAGCTATGGCAGGTCAAATTCCAAGATAGTCCCTAAGATTCTTACCACCATCATAATCTGTGAATACAATGGTGTATTGCTCTTATGATTAGGCAAAAGTGAATGCCTTTTTCAGATGTAATTAGGCATTTCTTAAAAATAAGTTAATTTCAATAATAGAAGTGTATATAGTTTAAACTCTGATATTGATAGAATGCCTAATACTTAGTGAGAATTTACTAATGCCTTAAGTAAATAGTTTTGGCTTACAAAGGTAGTACAATGGCATTGGTAATCTATATCTATATCTATATCTATATCTATATCTATATCTATATCTATATCTATATCTATATCTATATCTATATCTATATCTATATCTATATCTATATCTATATCTATATCTATATCTATATCTATATCTATATCTATATCTATATCTATATCTATATCTATATCTATATCTATATCTATATCTATATCTATATCTATATCTATATCTATATCTATATCTATATCTATATCTATATCTATATCTATATCTATATCTATATATCTCTATCTCTATCTCTATCTCTATCTCTATCTCTATCTCTATCTCTATATCTATATCTATATCTATTTTAAGTCAATAATTAATGAATCGGCAAAAAAAAAAGCATCTCTAATTAGATGACTGAGTTAATCAAAGGGGAGATTATCTAGGTGGGCCTGACCTAGTGAGCATGTCTTTAAAATACATAAGAAGAACTTGAAGCAGAAGTAAATGTTTTATTTAGCTTTAGAAAAGCAATTTGCCATGCTGTGGGGATATTCACATGGCAGGGAATGACAGACAGCTTCCTACAGAAATAAGAAGCACCCCCAAGTGGTAGTCATCAAGAAATTGTGTTCTCAGTTCTTCAGCTGAAAACCTTCAACAACTGGCAGCTTGGAAGAGGACTTTAAGCTTCAGTTGACATCATGGCTCTGGGTCCCTGGGTTTCATCCTGATGGTATTCTAAGAAGAGGACTCAGCTAACCTGTTCCTGGACTTCTGATTCATGGAAACGGTAAGATAATAATTTGTGCTTTTTCAACTAAAGTTGTGGTAATCTGTTACATAGCAAGATAAAACAAATGTACTAATGTAGACCTTCAACAACCAGATATAGTCAGAACCATGACTTACAGCTATTACTAGTTTATAGGTTGTCTTGTTAAGCTGCAAATGTTGGTTGAGGGGAGAGGTAAGATTCTTTGACTTGAAATGAGCCACTTTCTCTTCCTCTATACTCATAGAAAATGTAGCTCCCATTCAATGTCATGTGAATATAAAGCAAAGAGGAAGATTTTTATCTGTAAGTGATAGTCTCTTCAGAAGCTGATGGTCAATTGAAGTCAGAGGGTTGGGTTATATGCCCTCCTGAGGAAATTTCTCTATTCCATAATGTGGCTGAGAATAATGCCATTCTTGGTCCCAAAAGTGCTGAAAGGCACTCAAATTATAAGTCAAAGTGCATGACTGATGGGCTTGCTAATGTTGAAAAAGAAATGACATGTTCTCTATTATAACACAAACAAAAGGAGTATAACTTCCATCAAAGAAAACAAAGACTAGAGGAAAACCGTCTACTGATAAAATAAATGGCATAATGAAGCCAGCAAAAGTCCCAGCTGGTTTTAAACACAGATACAGACCAGTCAGATCTCCATGTGCCAGGATGGATGCAGAGCTTTCTCTGACAGAACAATGACAAGAGATTTCAGTGAATATGCATTGATTTAGCAGGGCCTTGGACAAATCCATCTTTACTGAGTGGCATATACAAGTTCCCTGTCATTAAGTACAAATCAAAGCATTTAAAATGCATGCAAGAAAAATTTTTCAATCCTGCAAGGCTTAGCACCATGCAGAGAGCACCATAGGGCATCGGATTTTTATAGCGTTATACCTATGCCTCTTCCCTGGATCTCTCTTACTTCTACTCCCTAATTTACACCGATTCTTCCAACTTCTGACCTTTCAATATGTTCACCCTGGCACTTTTCTAGTTATGGTTTTGCTTCCTGTCTTGAATATGATTTACATTTCCCCCTGAATAGGCCGTCTTCATGCCATGTTACATAATGCTTAGATCTTCAATTTTAGATAGCTACCTTCTCTGGGAGGAAAGCTTCCATTGCGTTTATCCCAGCTTTGCAGTCAGGACTCAAACAAGATGTACACATTATCATGCTCTATGCAAACACCATTCTTATTCTCAAAGAATTGTTCTATTGCTTTGAAAATTCTCTAGGTTGCCCTAGCAGAGAATGAAAACTGAGCTAGGACATTAAAAAAGTGGAGGTTATGATTGGTCCTTCCAATAAAGAGGGAAAAGTATGGAGACCTAAGAAGCTAGAATAATGAGACCTTGGCTTAACCAAGTACATTTATAACTATAAATTCAAGTTCATGTGACAAATACCAAAATAGTTTACCCATGCTAAAAGGTTATTTCCCTCACACATAAAATTCCAAAATCATATTATATCTCTGCTGTAAAAAGCCATCGAATGCCCAGGGTCCTTCTTTCTTGTAGTTCATCTACAAGATGAGTATGTCTTCATTTGTAAGCTCTAAGATGTCACTTTACCAACTCCATGTTTTAACTATTATGGAGAGCAGAGATAGGATGCACTCGGAGGTTGTGCATATCAATTTTTTCTTCATAACCTGTTATTCAAAACTTGATCTCATGTAGCTAAGATGTACTGTGGTTTGAATGTGGCCTCTCCAAATTTCAGGTGTTGAAACTTAATGGCTGATGTGGTAGTATTAACAGGTGGGGACTTGAAGAGGTAACTAAGTCATAATGGGTACTTTCCTGTAAATGAAGTGAAGGATCTTATAAAAGACGCTTCAGAGTGTTGGGCTCTCTTGCCCTTCTGTCTTCTGGTATGAGGATACAGAGGAAGCAAACCTCACCTGAAACCCCAACCTGCTAGCACCGTGTTCGTGAACTTTGTACCTTCAAAAACTGTGAGGAAATTTTATTTTTGTATATGTACATATATATATATATATACACTTGTGTATATATATATATATATATACACACAAAGATAAAATATATATATAAGTATATATACACACATATATGTATATATAAATTAACTTTTATACATAATCAACATGATATATAATTAGAATTATATATAATTAGCATTATATATGTAATTAGCATTACATATATGTAATCAACATATATGTGATTAACATTATGTAATTAGCATTATATACATAATTATCTTATATATTAATATACTGTAATAGCAGCACAAACTGACTAAGACAGAGAGGCTTCTCCTATTTTAGAAGTACAAAAAAAATACTGGGAGACATCTAGTGGTGAGGAGATGATTATGTATTCAACACTAAATAATTTTTTAAAATATATCTTTTATTTTATTACTATTATTTAATTTGATGAGAGAAGGAGAGAGAGATAGAAAAAGTGAGAGAGCAAGCTACCAGGCCTGAGACTTGAACCATGGTCAGCCATGTGGGAGTGCAGCATCTTAACCACCACTCTACTTGCAGGCCTTAACCCTAAATAATTTGAATAAGATGATAATGGAAGAGATTATTCATTCAATAAATTCTAAATAAGCACTTGCTATGTTCTTGGCACAATTTTAGGGTATCAGATGTTACCAGTGAACAAAACAAAGATCTCTATCATCTTGTTATTAGGAGATAATATTTTAGGCATAAAATTATTATAAGATGGGTAATATGTAGAAGATTCGCATTTATGTAAGAATTTAAGAACAGAATTGAGTCCGATCAAGTATAATTCACGGACTCAGAACTTTACCTACTTCATCTTTTTAAATCCTTCCAACAACCATATGAAATAGGTATAATTATCCCCAAGGCCACAGGCATTACATGGTTGAACCCTTGAATAAGCTCCTGATTACAATATGCTGCTTCCTTAAAACCATGAATAAACAGTGTGGTAGAAGTTAAAGAACATGAAATTATGAGACATAAAAAACATAAAAAAGAGTTTAACACTTTGAGCTTCTGGGACCAGCGAATGGTGTAATGGTTATGTCACTAGACTCCCACCTGACTGAGCTCAGTTTGAGTCCTGGATCCCGGTAGCTTGAAACTCATGCCAGGTGCAAGTGCATGCATACCCAACATCCTGAGAGAAGAATGGAGGAGAAGAGATTGTGGCTTGGCTAATCCCCTGAGGGGGAGGGGCATGATTTTTCACTTTCTTTCTCTCTGTCTCTCTCTCTCTCTCCAGCAAGCAGATGACCCTATAGCAAAAATCTCTCTTTAAAAAGAAAAAAGGTTTGATATTCCAATTACTGACAGCTTGACTTTTGAGGCCCACCAATGTCCTCCATTGACAGTGCTCTTCCGTGGCCTGAACAGCATAGATTTGAGGTTACGCTGGTCTCTCCCATCATTTTACATTCCTACTTAGTGTTACGCTGTCGGAATCTATCCACTTAGCAGTTGTCTCTAGAGGCAGTACTGCCTCATGGTAACTTAAAGAACTACTTTTGCAAATTGATTTATCACCTCTCAAGACTTGTGTCTCCAGTCTATCTCACTTTCTACCATGTTACCCATTATCAAATATTTCCAAATATCTACTATGAGAATAGCTTGGAGACCTCATTCAAACATCGATGGCTAGGCCCCACCCCTAGAGCATTTGATTCAGTCAGTCTGGAATGGGGCCTGGAATATGCATTTTTTAACAAGTTCTCAGATAATGCTGAGTCAAATAATTGTATCTACACTGATGCAATGTTCATGTAAGGTCCCATAACATTCACCTTTACAGTCAAGATACCATTTGAATCTGCCATACTCTGTCTAGATAGGTCATGAATCTAGCCTCTGTTAGCCTCTGCTGCTTCAATAGTGTATTTGGGATATTAGTTTCTAGCCACAGGGTATTTTGGGGAGTAAATAAACATATTTGGAATGCATGTGCTGGGATCAGCAGTTAATGTAATGGCTATATCACTGGACTCTCACATAGTCGACCGTGGTTTGAGTCCCGGACCCGGTGGCTTAAACTCACACTGGGCTCGTGTGCATGCGTGCCCAAGATCCTGAGAGGAGAATGGAGGAGAAGGGATTGCAGCATGGCCATCCTCCCGGGGGGTGATTTCTCGCTTTTTATCTCTCTGTCTGGCGAGCGTGCGTGCCCTATAGCAAAAACCTCTCAAAAAAAAAAAAAAATGCATATGCCAAAAGTTCATGACTCCTTAAGTAGTTACTTCTGAGTACCACACCGCTCAAGCATTTAAAATTAAATTTCTCATTGAATACTTGACACTCATTGCCTTGTGTGAGTGATAGAGCAACAGTCCTACGTTAGGTTGAAAAAAGCCATTGAAGTGATTGTGTGTTAAATATGATATTTTTTTATCTCCAAAGAACCTATAACATATTAAGAGTGCAGAACAGATATTTGGAAATTTTTATTGATGGTTAAACCAATTAATAAATATGATCAGGCTTCAAAAAGTTTGTAGAAAATGGAATTAAAGTTCAAGTTTATATTGGTCCAAAAAATTCTGAAATCCATACATAGATTTTTACAATATATACTTTTCATAAAAATTTTTGAAGACCCCCTTTATATAAATAAGTACTATGATTCTAGTTACTGAATAATTATGTCAATATAAAGATCTAATTTTCACAACCAAAATTTGGGAAAGAAATAAAAAACAGTGGAACTATGTGTACAAGGATATTTTTCTTTCTTTTTCTTTTCTCTCTCTTTTATTTTATTTTTTTGCAATTTCCTTATAACATGGAGACATGAGTATTTAACAAAACAAATCATGTGTCTCTGCAAGTCTTTTTTGTTCAATCAAAATTGAAGATTATCTCAGTAAATAGACTATCTCAGTTTCAATGGAAGAAAAGTATTGCATCGTTAGAAAAGTCAAGATGCATTTTTACATAGAAAATATATCATGACTTATCCAACAACCCAATAGTTTATAATTGAATGATTTTGGATGGAACATGAGGAATTCTGATTTTAGATTTTTCTGGTCATAAACTCTTCAAGATACTGACTTTCCTTCGAAGGAGGAGTTGTAGCATTATTCACTAGAAAGTCTTAAATTTGAGAGCTAGCAGGTAGTGTAGTAGTTAAGGCACTGGACTCCCCCATGGCCAACTATGGTTCAAGTTCCAGACCCAGTGGCTTGAAAATAATGCCAGGCACATGTGGACGCGTGTCCAAGATTCTGAGAGGACACTGGTGGTCTCTTCCTGTGAAGAGATTTCACTGTGGTCATCCCTGCTGGAAGGTGGTGTCTTACTTTCCCTCTCTCTGTTGATGGCCAGCCAGCACACACACCCAATGGCAAAAACCTTTTAAAAAATCTAATTATTGAAGATCTAGGAAAAGATAAGCAGTATCTATGAAACTAGATAAAGGAACTTAGAATAGCTTGAGTAAATATGAGCCATCACTGTGTGAAAAGAGTACCAAGTACCTTCTTTGGGTAAAGAACGGTTTATATACAAATAATGCTGATGAACCTGGTTGGCCATTTGAGCGATAACAAAGCTGGAGTACACTCTAGGGGGGAAAATTAGATTGCAAATATCAATGAAATTGTGACAGCATTAGACAATTTTCAGAAGACACGTGCTATGATGTAAATGTGTCCTCTCAAAATGTATGTGTAAAAACTTGGTAAGCCATTGCCACAGTGTTGACAGGGCGGAGACTTAATCCAATCATAATATTCAAAGGTGGCACCTTTGGGAAGAGAATAGATGAAGTCATCAGGAAGGAGTTCCCATGGTTGAATCCTGGTGGGTTTATAAGAAGGAACAGACAATGCAGACATGCTTTGCTCATACTCCATCTTGCCGTAGGATGCCCTGCACTGTCTGAGGACTCCACACCGAGAAGACCCTAACCTAATGTGACCCCTTCACCTCAAACTCCAAAAACCAGGAGCAAAATCTCTAGTCTTTAAAAATCACTTGGACTCAGGTATTTCTGTTATTAACAAATTAAAATAATATCTATTTGAAGTATTTTAAATATGAATAAATGGACTGAAAGGAAAAGAATAGAGCAGGACGTATCATGAAGGCATAACCTGAAGAATGGTGACTGTATTCATAGAATATGAGGTAGACTACAGAACAGAAACTATCGTCCTAGATAAAGCTGACTACCTCATGATAACGTTCAATTTTCCAAGAACTTAAAACAATTTAAAATACTTAGGCACTTAGCAGAATGTTAAAGTACAAGGAAAACTAGACAAATCCGAAACTACTGTTGAGACTTAACTTTTGTGTCTATTATTAATTGATAGAATCAGGGATCAATAGAATAAGTAGAAAGGAGAAAAGAAAAGTAAGGCTGTAAAGGAACCCAATTATTCTATGGCCCAGTAGATCTACTTGACATTTATAGAAAAGTCCTTGTAATAACATCACAATACATTCAGTATTTTTAAATAGGCAAACTATTTCTTCAGTGAGTAAGAGAAGCAAAAATAGAAAGACAGCAACCACAGCAGGACCCTGACCATGATCTGGGCCCCACTTTTACAGATGTCAGTGTACTCCGGGAGATCTCCAGACTCGAACTAGAAACCTTCCCGTGTAGGATGTTCTTGCAGAGCATCATCTTTTAATGCTGGCTCACTGTCTGGACCCAGAATACACTTAACTTTCTATTGTACATAGAACATCCATCAAGACAGACCTTATCCTGGGCCATAAAATAAATCTCTTCAAATGCAGTGGTTAGAAATCATGCCAAATATGTTCATTGACCAAACTGGAATGAAAGTAGAAGTAACTGAGAAACACAGGGGCTGGTGCAGTAGGACAGTGTTGAAAGCTCTGTGCACTTGAGCTGGGTCCCCCATGACGGATCATGATTAAAATCCAGCTGGAAAAATATGACAGGCATGAGTGAATTCATGCTCAATTCTAACAGGAAGAAGAAATGGAGGGAAAGGATTGCAACATGAGCACACCCTGTTTTTCAGTCTCTGTCACTCTCTCTGGTGAGCACGTCCTATGGCAATAATAAAGAAAAAGAGTAAGAGAAATAGATGAAAATGTTCAAATATTTGGAAATTAAACCACATGTCTAACCCATGAGTCAAATAGAAAGTCTCATGGGAAATAAAAATAACAGCAGTCCAAATTTGGTGGTATGCAGCTACAGAAATGCTTACTATGAAATTCACAGTATTAAATGTTTATATTAGAATATAAAAGGGCAAACAATTAAACATTCCCCTCAAGAAACTAGGAAAAAAAAAAAAAACAGTGAGTACCAAACAAAACAAGCAGAGGATAAAAATAATTAATATAAATAAGTACATTTAAAATTAAAAATGAAATAAAATAAATGAGCAGCTAATAAAATCAATATCCTCTTGCTAGATTAATAAAGTAAAAGACACGAATTACCATGTCAGAATTGAAAGACAGGCTAACATCACAGAGTGAAAAGACATGAAAAGGGTTAAAGGGATAAAATGAGCAACTCGCAACACATATCCCAAAGATATTAACAGATTTAAAAATAGAATATAAACAGCTCTCTTCCTACAAATTTTCAACTTATGACAAAAGCACCGATTACTTGAAAGATACAAACAACCAAAATTCACTGAAGAAAAAGTTATTTATTTATTAGAGATTTTTGCCTTAGGGAGTATGTGCTCATCAGTGAGAGAGACAGAGACAGCGAGAGGGAAAGTGAGAAGTCACACAGTGCAACAGGAGGGATGGCCATGCCATGCCACAATCCCTTCTCCTCCATTCTCCTCCCAGATCTTGGGCACATACACACACACTGGGTATGAGTTTCAGGTTACCACGTCCATAACTAGAACCACAGTCAGCCATGTGGGAGTTCCAGTGATGTAATTGCTATGCCATCTGCTGGTTCCAAAGAAAATGTTATGAAACTTTGAAAAACTGATGTACCTCTCCCCCACAAAAACGAACATCTACAAAAAAAAAAAAAAAAAAAAAAAAAAAAAAAAACTCCCACTATAGTTAATATGATATTTAACAGTGAGAAAATAAATGTATTTTATCTAAGACCAGGAACCAGGCAAGAATATTCCTTCACTCCTATTTTTCAATGTAATGGAAGTTTTAGATAATACAATAAGATATTAAAAGGAAATAAAATGTACACAGATTGGAAAAGTAAAATAAAACTGTCTTTGTTCCTGGATGACCCAATTGTCTATGTAGAAAATCTCAATTAACAACAACAAAATTAATTCCAGAACTACTGTGTAATTATAAAAAGATTGTAAGAGGCAAGATTAAAGTGTAAAAGTCAAATGCTTCCTAATATACTGATAGCAATCCATTGGAATTTTGCATTTAAAACACAGTATCATTTACTTTAGTAAAATAAAATGTTTATGCGCAAATCTCACAAAATACTTGTAAGACCTTTTTGAGAACAACAATCTCTGAAAGAAATGAAAGAAGACCTAAATAAATGAAGAGGTACCCCAGATACTGTGCATGGCTAGGAAGACCTTTAGAGATGTCAAATTTGTAAATGTAGAATTGTTCATAATATCCTTTTAAAAAATCATTTTAATGTCTGTGATGGTCAGTGGAACTGGCCACCTCATTATCTCATTCCTGATATAAATAATTATTGCTATCTTTCTTTTATTCAGTTAACCTGGTTAGAGGTTTATCCATTTTGTTGCTATCTTAGGAAATGAGGGGATAATTTTGGGCTTGTTATGCCACTAGGAAAAAAAACAAACAAAAACAAGCTAAAAACAAAAGCATGAATTACTCTGCTTTCTGTCATGAGAAATTCTGATTACGAGGGAAATTAAGTTCTGACTAAACGGTAAAGGAGAACTAGGTCTGAAACTTGAGGTAGGCCCTCATGCAACCCTCAATGTTTCCATGCTCAGTAGTAAAAGTTATTAGAAAAATACAGCAACCGAAATAAGGATGATTAAGCCCTCACACCTTGCAGAAATTACCAACAGGTAAAGTACTCTGAGAAACTGTGGTCCTGGCTAAAATGGAAATGTGGATTTAATAGTAGATGAAGGATGCTGTAGATGCCAATGGGAGCCTTGATAGCCGTTATTAATATTGAACTACATTGGGGCCAGCAGCGGTTAAGGCTGTGGACTCCACGTGGCTGACCATGGTTTGAGTACCAGACCTACCAGCTTGAAATTCACTACTGGTTCATGTGCATGTGTGCCCAAGGTCATGAGAAGAGAATGGAGAAGAAAGGATTGCGGTGTGGTCATACCCCAGGGGCATGATTTTTTTGTTTTTGGTCTCTCTGTCTCTCTCTGTCTCTCCAGCAAGCACACACACCCTATAGCAAAAATCTCTTAAAAAAAAAAAAAAAAAAAACCTAAAAAACAAAAAATAGAATTATAGTCACATGCTTATTTTCTTTTTGCTTGTTATATGCGTGTCTTTATTTGTATGTAATACATTTTCATTTTATATACAAGTTGTTGGAAGTTGCATTCCTAATTTGGTTTTGGTTAGAATGTTCAGTGAGTGTGCTAATGTATTTGGGGAGTAAACCATGTAGTTAGAATGGTTACAATGATGGGAACCAGCAGTTAGCGTAATGGCTATGTCACTGGACTTCCACGTAGTCGACCGCGGTTCGCATCCCGACCCGGTGGCTTAAAACTCACACCGGGCGCGTGTGCGTGCGTGCCCAAGATCTCGAGAGGAGAATGCAGGAGAAGGGATTGCGGCATGACCATCTCCCCTGGGGGGTGATTTCTCGCTTTCTGTCTCTATGTCTCTCTATGTCTCTCTCTGTCTGTCTGGTGAGCGCACGTGCCCT